TCTGGGAAGAACCTATGCGACTGGATTTGCTGTAATAATCTCTCCTCTGCTGAACGATTCTTGAACGGAACTTATTTTCTTCTCGAAAAAGTGCGTAGGCATCTCGTCAGCGGTGCATAACATTAGGTAATATCAATGAGAAACACGTGATCGTTAAATTTCTTGGAGTAGCTAACGATAAAAGTAGGAGTGACCAGCCTGTTTTTGCGCTAATTAAAAAATCTACTGAAGAAATCTTTGTCGTTCTATGAAAACACTTTCTTCAAAATGTATTTCACGCCGTTTTCATCTTTTTATTACTGTTATCTTTTGTTTCCTCAGTGAAGTGGAACTCATATTTGAAGGTGAGCTCTCAATCCAGTCCCCAGATTAAACCTGCTTAAACTTCTCGAACATTGTGGGCGGAAATATGTGGGTTGGGAAAAGGGACTTTTTGCTGATGCATTCAAGCATAACAAATGTTAGGAACAGAAATTAAATGCATGATACACTTCATAGCGAAGAAATGAAAGGACCATTTCACTGCGCCCCCGCATTCGCGTCTCATTCCGAATCTTATGACGAAATGAATGCGTAATTATTTGTGTGACAATGACTTGCAGTAGTCAGCCGATGTTCGTAGTCAGTGCTTTAGCCTCCCAGACTTGTCCGGTATCAATTAATTGATCCCGGGTGGATGGAAGCCTTGTTTAGCTTGGGCGGATATCGATACCAAATTCGATCCTCGGGCTATCCTTGTGTGTGTGATGGGGCGCTGCTTGACATTACATCACATCCGTGCAATAATTGATGATAAGTTATGTAAAGCTCCGGTTGGAGAGTCGTCCTTCCTTCATAGGTAGGGAGCCTTCCTCCCACCCAGTTTTAGTTTGGATACATAATCCTCGATGAGATATCTTGAATTATGCCCACGGTTTTGCACTATTTTCGTCCTTTCAGTAGCTCCAACTGATTTCACGTTTCTGTCATTCCCCAGTGTGAATATGTGGAGGGAAAAGACTTCACAAACAAAACGGTGGGAAGTCTAGCTCTAATCTAGGGTCTCATGAGAGTTTTTTTCAGTTGCCATTTGTTTTAGGAATGGGCGGCGGTGAATTTCTTGATGAATCCAAATCCTTCATATTATATTACATTGAAGCGAGCTCATTTTAAATGTAAAGCGTACATAAAGTATTCCTGGACGAATAATTGCTTCATTAGATTTTGCATTGACGAATTTTCCTTTACAATTTGCTTGAATTTTGCTAATCAATTTCCTTTTAAGCTTCGATTATTCTAAAGTTTTAAATTGCCTCGAGGAGTTTTCTTTTTATTTTGTAGAATACATATTTCAATTAGGATCTTCCCCTCCCTTAATGCCTATAGGATTAAGAGTTGATTAAGGAGAGAATTTGAGCAATTAATTACATTGCCCCAATTTCCTCGACGACTCTGGCTTTTTTGCAGTTGCAGTCGGGTTCAAGTCATTTGCAAAGTGCATTGCGTTCGTTCAAAAACGAGATGGTTATTTTTTGTGAACATTTGGAATTTAATTCGAGTAGGACGAAATTTTGTTGACTAGTGTTTAATATACCGAGCCCAATTAGGATCTAAACGTTTTTCATGGGATAATTCTCGCTGTTTTATGAAATATTCGAGAACTATCCTTTATAAAAAGGATGGTGAAATGAAGAGTATCGTTAGGACTGATGAACTTTACAATTACAGCATTTAGAAAATGAAAAACTTCGAAATTTTTGAGATCTGGGTGTACCTGTTGCTTGCCTCACGACTCCAGGTAGTTCCCAGGAGTACATGGGTCCCAATCCTTGAAATCTGAAAGAAGCACTTCATGTAGGGAGTGTTTTCTTGAAGTTAGCGGTGGAAGGCCGTACTTGACACCCACAGCTCGCGGGTAAATTACGAAATCTGGGTGAGGATTACGAATGAATGCCTCTGACTCAGCTTACCACCTGCCGATTTACCTCTTCTTACTTTACCCATCGGGTAAATGCTTGACTTACTCATCCCTTAGTTGACCACCCACTCCCAGACAAATGAAGCAGACCTGCAAATGGGCATTGAAAATTTGAAATTAGCGCCGAAAGGCGAACGCGCGCGTTTCAGCCAATCGCGACGCGACGGGCGGTCGGCGGGCAATTTTGGTTGCAGCCACGGGCCGGCCTGACCACATAACGCACAGCGTCGTTCTTCGGGTGACGTCGTGGTGTTCTTGCTGCGCTATTTCTGACCTTTTTGGGGCTTCCATTGGCCTAATCTGTCCATGTTTGGCTAAAGACTGCTACTGACGTCGGCAATGCTTGTCCTCGTCGTTTCTGTTCATCTTCTTATCCTTGAGAATACTCTGCCTTCAATTACCTACACTCCTACGTCAGTGTATGATTGTGCTCCTACGATGACGTCAGGGAAACGATGGACGATGGCGTGGCTCGTTTCCGTGGGTGTTTCGTGAAGCTTGCTTTAAGGCATTTATTTTTGGGCAAATTGTAGTTGTGCTCAAGACTTCGGGAGCTTTCCACAGTTACTTTTTAATGTTGTTTATTGTTGGAACGATTGAAAACCTCGGGAAACCATGCTTTCCTCTAATCTTTCGCTTCGTGTCCGTCGTTACGCTGAAGCCAAGAATTGATCGATTTTTCGCGTTGGACCTCGTTTTCCATTCAGCAACGCAACCACCGGACGACTGCGAGTCAATTTAATAATCGTTTTTTTTTCTTAGGATTTGCGTAGTATTCCGTTCCTGTCATTGGCCTATTTTCGTTGAACTCCTTATTCACACGTGTTGCCTCTCGGCGAGTATGTAGGGGGGAATTTCAGTCATAACTATCAACAGTAAAACCAGTCAGTGATGGCTACTGCTGGAGCTGTGCATCGACGAACATTGCTAAAAATGGAATAAAGATCGATTCTCTTACCTGCCGACAGAGTGTGTAGGCTGTGAGTTCTGTACAACATTCGTACTCGAGTGGCATCATCATCGTTGAGTATTTTCCCCCAGCTGGTACGCCGTATGCCGTCAAACTTTGGGGTCTTATTCACGCATGTCAAAGTCTTGTTCAAGTTGATTAAAGCTGTGCCTTTTCATTTTTAGGTTACCGCACCGGTGTGCTAGTGTAAGGTCTTTCACTTCAACAGTTGCAAGCGGAATCCGAAAGGTAGCCCGTCGCAGATGAAGTTCGAGAATGAATTCGTCCTGTGAAATCTTAATAGCGATCCTCTATCAAACTCATCCAGTTTTTGCCTTTCTTTGATGGCTGTGAGGGTTTTTCGGGAAGTGAGATTGAGATATGTCGCATGTGAAATAATGTATAAGATCTATTAGGTAGGAAAAATTCAAATAACTTATCATAACTAGCTGATAATTGCAAGCTAAAACTTGCGTAGATCGTAAGCTCCGTCTGCCAATTTTTGGGATCCAGCATAACTTCTAATTAGGATAAATTCGTTGTACGCTGTCTTACATAGTTACTCCTACGAACCCATCATGAGTTCTCGGAGAATGACTGAGCCAGGTCGACCTTTGCCCGCTTGTTTTTCAACGTTCTCTCCGTCCCTCGCTGCCAGCATTGGTATATCAGCCTTATCAATCTTATGAGAATCAGAAAATCATTTTGCTGTCTTCCAATAAGTAGGTGGGCGGATTGATGATGGTCGATTCTTCATAAGCTTTATGTATTGATTCCAAAGAAAATGATTGAGCGCCTGCTGTTGAGTAGGCGTTACTGTTGTTCGAATGGCAGCCTCCGTTCTCCTATCTGTTCTCGCCTCTTACAATTTGCTTTAGCAGACTTTTTCCTTATTTCATGCTCATTGTGGTGAAACGGCTCGACGTCATTGCTCACAATAAGGATGTCCATATCGTGAATTACTCCATAACGACGGATTCCTCTTTAGTGGACTGAGAGAGCGAGCTCTCCAGCTGGTGGGAGGCAAACGCCAACTGCCACCTTCCTCATACACTCACTCGCTATGCGTGCGGTCGGTCTTCAGGTTAATATTGCAATACTGGTGCGGGGTAAAAAAATCATATCGATTTTTGTGCTAAACAAAGCGTACTGCTGTTGCGTACTAGTCTCGCCTCATTTTTCATTTCTGAAGTTGTTACAAAATGTGTTTTTTATGAAGTAATGGAGTATTACAAATTACTTCAGCTGGGAATCTTAGGATCAGTTCTAGGTAAAAGCAATATGCTCAGTTTTCGCTCTTGAAAACCCACCCTTGTCTATGTACTGGGTCGAATAGTAAATTTTCACTACTTTATTGATGGGTTCATGTTTGTTTGTGCGGTTTGCGGGACGCAGGATTTACGATGTTCCGTCATATTTTTATATAATCTGACAATTTTGTATTGTTCCTCTATTTGGGATGTTTCTGGGTGTTTCATCAGCGGTCCTCTGTGTCAGTGTCTATGAAGTCACTTTCGGTGCGAGATTAGTCATCACCTTGGTCATTGATTGCTCGCGCTTATCGGAAACCACTGCTGTTCGCGAGCACTGCTTTCTGTGAATCCTCGGCCCACTAACTGCGCTCCTCCCGATCGCTACTCGCCCACGTGCGTTCATAGAAAATCTCCCGTCTCCGTGATTTCGCATGTTCTTTTCGTATGGTCGTATTAAAGTTTATGCATGAACTAATCGTTCAACCATTCATTTTTTAGGCTTCTTGACTCGGTCGGTTGCTTTTCGCCTCGCCACAACTACATAATTCAAAATGGTATGATTTTCACATAAGGGGACAACATGCAGCTTTACTACTGTGGTTCAATGAAGAAAAGCTTAAATTCGTAGCGTGGTTCCAATAAGTACTAACCGTTGTTGGATCCGTTCAAAATGAGACAGCATCGTTCAGTTGCTGATCGGATTCAAGCTAGTTTCAAGCTTTCAAAGATTTATGATTAGTTGCTCTTCAATGTGGATGTTACTAATAGCCAAAAGATTTGCATGGTGTGCTTTGTTTTGCGAGTGGTGTGCCTAATACGGTTTCAGTCGACTTCCGGTGTTATGGTCAACCCTGAGGTACAGTCCACGTTCCAGAAACTGAGTGAAGGAAAGAAAGAATACCGATACATCATCTTCAAGATTGAGGTGGGTATTTTACACCTAATTATTATTTTTGTGACGAGTCTGTGTTTTCGTAGACGCCGTTCTAGTGAGAACGAAGGCAAATTTAATGTAAATCGTCCGGTGGGGTAACTGAGATAGCAGTTTTACCTAGGACGTACTCCTGGTGTTTATTTAGTTCTCAGTTGTAGTTGGAAGGTCATTTATTCTTTGTTGGGAGATCGGGTTACCAGGGAATTTTCTTCTTAACTTTCGTCTTTTCGTTGAAAAGCCACTGTTTTGGCTCGAAGTTGAGAAAATAAGTGGCGTCATGGATTGGGGTTGATAGACGGTTGCGAAAACAAGAAACTGAGTAAGACATACCTGCTGTAGCGGGTTAGCGGGTAAAAAGGGGGCTACCTTGCATACGTTGTACAAGCAGGAGTGTTTCGGGTTTTTGAAAAAGGTCTGAATTTGTCCTCAATTCATGAGAAGTCTTCGCATCTAAAAAATTTTTGTCAGGAGCGTGAAGTCGTCGTAGAGGCGGCCGTATCGCAAGAGGAATTAGGCCTCACTGGTGACGATTACGATGACTCATCCAAGGCTGCCTTCGAAAAATTTGTGGCCGATATCAAGGTTAGTCACTGTGGATGTTGACGCTTAAGATATTGGCATCGCTTGTCGAAGAGGGCATTTTGTATAGCATCATTGATATATATTTAGCAACGCACTGATGGTTTTACTGATTGCCGTTATGCTGTTTTCGATTTCAAGTTCACTTGCTCTCGTGTAGGTGCCGGTACATCTAAGATGGACAAAATTGTGTTCCTTCAACTGTGAGTTTATTCTGCTGTTGGTTCGATGCGTTTTTTTTTTCCTTATAGTGGGGATATTCTCAAAGAGGCCTGGCGAATCATACGTGGTTATTACAGGTGCCCAGATGGTGCCTCCATCAAGAAGAAGATGGTTTATGCATCTTCGGCATCGGCCATAAAGGCTTCGCTTGGTACAGGCAAAATTTTGCAGTTCCAGGTAAGCGCTATGTGCTTGGTGTGCTGGAAGGTCTCTGGTAAAAGTGGGATTGTGATATTTGAGTCTATTAATACAATGTTTCTTGTCTCCCTTACTGTGTTAAATGTTCGTCTGGTTTCCAAGTTTAATGAGTGGTTTGGGGGTAGAAGTATACTAGGGATCACAACATATCTTCATCTGTATGAGGCGGCTTCAATGAAATAGCGGGAACCTAGTAGTTGGGCAAGAGCGCGATGGTGCGCGTAAACATTGATGAGTATAGGGTTCCGATTTTCTGTTGTAACATTGTGTCACGTACATTACTCAGCCTACGATGATTCACAAATGCTGGGTATTATCGAAAGGCGTATTTTTTGTTAGGAACGACAGTGAACTTATGCTCGCGCGGTTTCTTTTCAGTATCATTGGAGTGTATGACGAAATTGAGTGGTTGTAAGATATGTATTCATAGGCTTTTGCACAAAATTCTCTGAAACAGGGAAAATGAAGCCTGGAAAGAGTGTTATTCTGCAAACTTGGTTTCTTGGGCGATTTTCGAATTTGTGCCACGCTGTACCAAGCTTTCTGATCCCCCGGCTTTTTTTTTAACGAAGAATTGCTATTTTAGGTGTCGGATGAGTCGGAAATGTCGCACAAGGAACTGCTGTCAAAGCTGACCGAGAAATATGCCGACAATTAAGCATGTTTGATGGTGTTCTTCTAATGAGTGCGCTTGCAACGGCGACGATTGTTGTTACCATGGCGTGTTTCACTTGTCATCGCCCGTTTTCCGTCTTTTTTTTATAGTTTTTCTTATATATCTCACCTAAGCCCCCTCTGAAGCATTCTGTTGATCGTCCGCAAAAACACGTCTCTTTTTTTAAAGTGAGTGTGTTGTGTGTTGCGTACGTACATAACCACAACCATCATCAATCAGTTCTCTGCGTGTGCCTCTTTTCGTCTCATATGCTAACACAAATGGTTTTTTCTTATCTCCATTCCTTTTTCTACCCTCTCTTCCTTCCTCCTTTTTTCTCTTGATCGAGGTTCAATTAGGGTGCATTTGAGTGCCGAGAGCAGGCAAGCAGGCGTCTTAATTCATCGGAGAGGCGCGCATGTGTTCTTTGTACCCGGTTACGTTATTCAGAATGCTCGCTCGCGCTTTATCTGAAAAGGAAAAAAAAACCCGCTGCTATCCGAATCGCTCTGTCTCGGTGTGACTTCTCTGTTTTATAAAAATCTTTTTAAGTGTTTTATTTGTTTTCGTTTTGTGTGATAATAACCGTTGTGCGCGTTCAAATAAATAGACATTATTATTTGTTTGGTGTGTTTTACTCACTCGCATGGTTTGATTTGATTTACTGACGACGTAAGGAGCCATGCTAAGATTTTCATAGTGTTACAGATTCATAAGATTAATTGAAGGGTCAGATTGATGGGTTTTGTAGGAAGTCGAGATTGATGATTACGATATGTAGGCAATGGACGTGTCTGCATAGTAATTTAGGCATCTGGAGTGAAGATCGATCCATCATGCAAAAATGCGTACGATATGCTCCACAATAAGCATCAGCACAGCTACATTATTTTCAAGGTAATTGTTGGTTTCTACTACTTTCTGAGGTGACAGAGTGTAAGCTTAGCTGTTTTGGTAGTTTTGTTATTTTATGAAAACCAATTTCTGATTGATATTTCCTGAGTACGAGTTAAGCCGATCTCTATTTGGTTGTTTACGACTTGTATCTACAGAGATTTGCTTCACTGGTGTTCGTTTTCCACCTTATAAGTTTTGATAGGAGAATCTAGATAGGGTCTCAAGCGTACCGTTATTCCTGAATCGCTAACTAGAGCTATATTGGTACCCTTTTCGACCGATTTTCGTCGGTGCACCGATAACATTCTGGAAGAACATGAAACTTCTAGCCGGTTTGTAGTGGGATTTTCAGCTTCACTAACAAGGATGGCGTTGGGTAGTGTGCAGGCGACGCTACTCTTCAATCATTTCGTAGTTTCTGCCTACCGAATCGGTATACAACTAAAGCCCAGAATTCATTAGAGCTGAAAATTTACCTGGAGTACGTCATGTATTCTATTCTGTCTAGAATCGCTGAAGTTATAGGACATTCGTTTGTTCTGAACAAGTGGTGTCTAAGCTTACCCCTTTCACTGGTGCAAATTTATAGTTAAAAAAATGAGTTTGAAAAAAGCACTGAAAAATAGTATAGAATATTTGGTTTATGAAGCCAAGCCGATAGTTCAGCCTTTAGTCTATAGGGCAACTCTTCTTGCCATCATCCCAACTCGAATCAGACATCAACGGTTGAAAGTAAAAATGATTCCTAAAAAAACTTCTCCACCCCAATACGCTCTTCACTAATTTGTAGCCTTTGACGTGGGTTATGCCCAAACCGGATTCGGGGGCTATACAGATGGAAGTCTAAGTGGCGATTCAGGAATGCGGTAACCGATGGTAAGGTAGTAAGGCACCCACTCACTAAGGTGTTATGCACGGCAGAAGCAAAGTAGCTAGGATTGGCTTCGTTCACCCAGCTTTGACCTTATTTCTAGCTATTACTCGATTATTCGGGTTCCCTCTGAAACAGGTATTGATAGCATGTGCGGAAAATCGATAGCTGCCAATTACGTACCTATCGAGTTTTCGCGCGTTTATGAAAAATACATCTTTTGAAGCTAATTCCAAGCTGCTTGCCTACTTGAAAATTCATCTTTAGATCGACAAAAATGATACAGCAATCGTAGTGGAGAAAGTGGGCGATAAAGGAGCGCCATATTCGGAATTTGTGGAAGAAATGCGGAAAGCCGTCGACGGTGGCAAAGAATGCAGGTAGATTAGTCGTTTGTCGAGGGATTACTGTAGCTGCTCTGAAAAACCAAATCCGAAAATCGCTTCAGATATGCTGCCGTAGACGTAGAAGTCCAGGTTCAACGTCAAGGTACTGAAGGTGGCAGTAAGCTGAACAAGGTTATATTTGTGCAATAGTGAGTTTTCTATTAATTGATCTCGTTTTGTTCGAGTAAACTGACTCAATAAATCAACAATTCCTGTTATAGCTGTCCGGATGAAGCACCGGTACGTCGTCGAATGCTTTACGCTTCCTCGGTTCGTGCCCTGAAATCGACACTTGGCCTCGAATCGCTGATGCAGGTAGGCTATGGACCAATTCAGATTGAATGAGTTGCCTTATAAATAAAAACCTACTCAAACTCGTTCCTGTTGTTTCCCCAGGGAAATCAGAGAGGAAGGAGTAAGGGTGTGACTGTGCTGACTGGGTTTACCAAAGCTAAGTACAGGGCACTTTCTTCGACTTAAAGCCCACTTTTAATTTGAATGGTCGATCAGTCGTTAGGTCCCTACAGAATACAAGATCTATTAGATAATTGAAAAAGATAGGTGATGGCAATCGAACATTCTCAAAGGGTCACTGGAGTGGTTTCAGAGAATTCAATTAGGATCAACATCACTGGAGGGTGTTCTGTGGGGTATGGGAAAGACTTCTCTTCTTTGACCAACATAAAATCACATTTCTGACATATTCTGTTCTTTTAATGAATTGGTTCGAACTAGGAATTTCAACTGCACTGTTGCCTTTAACTCTTTAAAGCTCTTGGTTTTCTCCTAAACGTATAAGGGCGAGTTTCAGTTATTAGGAAGTGAAGCTTCACTTTCACCAATGACCCACGGTTCAGAGCGCATACTAAACAACCCACCATCCGAGAAATACGCTTGTCCTGGCTGGTTGGTTGGCTAGTATGCCATTCAAGCCCAAAGTCAGCTGGGGAATCCTCGCCAGCGGTCCAATTAACCTCGCTGGATGGACCATAATTTCACCGGCGTCAAACGAGACCAAAATTGAAAATTGTGTCTCCTGGAGACGAATCCAGCTCCCCAATACTCGAACTTTTCGCGGAATGATAAATACCTTTGGAAAATACAGCACTGGAGAGGCTCGGCAATTGCTATGAACTAATCCAACGAACTTTTTTTCCCAAGAATTTCTTTAACATGAGGAAAGAGCTCTTATCTACATGCTGTTACCCTTTTACGGCCAGACCCTTTCTTTTCGGCAGTTTTATGGACAACCCTTACTAGACTTTCAAAAATATAATAGGACTTTCTTCATTTTGGACATTTTTGGTGTCCATTCCCCCATTCTAATGTACAGGAAACGGTCCAGTAAGCTTGAAGGCCCGTCTTCAAATTACACCGAAAAAGTGAGCAAACGGGGTCGAACAATCCCATTTTGAAGTGTGCCGCCATCAGACCTAATCGATTCATGGCGAGTGACAGGCCTGGTCGATTTTTTCCTCCGATAGATAATGGTTTGAAAAACGGATTCCATTAATGAATCAGCAATGAGTTCATCATAGATATTATTGAGAATCCTGTAGGAAATTCCCTTTTGATCTTCACTTTTGCTGTCCACGTATACGGTAGATGGTCTTGATCTACCGTAGATGCCGCCGATCCCTTGGTTTCCCATAGTTACACCGTTATTCAACCCACGTAGTCATGTCTGGTTCCTGATCTTCAATCCGTAAATGATGAGGAACCCTGACACGGCTCGGCAAGCAATCCCCCCGCGCTGCGACCTAGTTTCTGCGAGACGACGGGACATCCTGACCCATACACTTTCGGCGATTGTGCACCGTTTTTTTTCAATTCCTCTCTTTGACTTCTGAAGTGGAGCTTAGTTTGTAGACTGAATTCTTAGGATGTAACACTTTAATTCTTTTTTTCAGGTTCAAGCATCGGATCTATCCGATTTGGATGAAAAGGCTATTAAGCACGATCTGGTCAGTAGTCAGAGAACCTAAATTGCTATGCTTGTCTTCAGCTCCTATTCATCGCAGCACCCTTTTCGTTTTCTTTTTATTTCCGCTCTTTTGTATCGTATTCTAATTACAATCTGATGTCTTATGTTTTTTCGATGTCATTTTATGTTCGTCTTCTTTTCTTAACGAGGTTCGCTGAGTTTCTTCACAAATTTCAGGCCAACCAGTCGAAGAATTGTGTATTTACAGATAATTATTTTTTATTTTCTTTCGTCCCAGCTCAATGAAGTGTCTGTGCCTGATAATGGTAAAATACAATACATGAATATCTTACACATTGGGTAGACTTACCCATTAAAACCGTATGTATTGATTGCTACTGACATTAGTTGCCATAAATACGAGGCTGCTGTCATGGTATAATATTATATTAATAAGTAGCATAAGTAGCATTGAATCAGATTTCGTAATGACAAAGCGACGATTATCGATCGATAGGCAAAAAGCTGCTGAAATGCGATTTTCCGTCAGGCGCGATGCGTTCGCCTCTGGCGGCATTTCACGGTTGGCTGCAAACTCGCTAGTATGAATGCCGTGGAATGCAGCTGTTTAAAATAATTTATTGCACAAACAGATCTGATTCATTTGAATCTATATGAAAACGTCACTCCTATTGGATAAGAGAATGAAGGAATGCAAAACAGGTAACGTCATCATTTCCGGCTTCACAAAATACCTGAATTTGAGTTATATATTTCGTATTATCGTGATGGACGTCGATAAAAAAACAGTTCTTACTTGTGTGTTAGCCAAGTAACTGAAGTCATGACTTGAACAGATCACATCGAAGAGACCACCGATTTCATCTGTAGCAGCCTTTTGAATCTTCCTCTTTGAAGATGAAGGATTGGAGTCGACATTCTGAATAGGTTCGAATGAATCTATGGAAGGTTTTGAAAATGACGTCTATAGTGTCGACGTCTTCTCATGAATAATCATGCCATAAGGGTTCAACTTTGAAGGACCAAAATCACTCTGTTGCGTAGCGTGTAGGACCCTATGACTCAAAACTCTGAGGAAACCGCCACTGGAAAATCGATTCCCAGATAGTTCATCGGCATATTCAGAAGAATTTACTCTAAAGGTAAAAATGGAGGTAGCATCGCTTCCGAAGCATCATCTGCATCGAAGTGAGCCGATATGATTGCTAAACCATAGCACTAACTCAACAAATGTCCAAAATGCGAGTTCTAATTTTGAAGGTCTAGTTACGGTTCTCCATTGAACTATCGAAAAAGAGGGTTCAGTCGTAGAGGAGTAAAAGCTTGCGGGTAAGAGTTTTCTTCGTCTGATAGAGATTATCCAAAAAGGAAAGCATGTTGAGTATCTTCAATACATTTTTGAGACCGTGTCCAAATTTTTCTGAATGTGTTTATTAATTCATCAGGTGTGGTATCTTCCCCCCGAAAGTCGCGACGCGGTCGCCGCACTTAGTCATGTGCACCCGCGCACTATGAATGGAATGGTTTGAGCTTTAGGTGGAAGGGGGTGTGTGTCAAGTCATGCGTCCGAGGGTGCGCGCGGCGAATTGCGCGGCGAAGTTCGTGGAGAATTTGGACGACTTCGGCGCCTATAATTGGGGCCCAAATCTGAAGTAACGTAGATTAGTAAGGTCAGCTGATCCTACTATTCTACTGTACTTCGAAATTGGGCCCAAATAATAGGCGCTAAAGTCGTCAGAATAGGTATGATTTCGCCGCGAAATTTGCCGCGCGCACCCTCGGACGCACGACTTGACCGTCCCTCGGTGGAAGGATACGGTTCGGGGAGGAGTACCTTACCCTGTTCACTTTACCTCCCGCGCCCGACCTCGAAAGTAATACAGCAAAGCTGCCTAAAGCCCACAGATGAGAGCCATAAACTCATTAAAATCGCCTTATAATTGGAAATCCGGTGCTCTCACCTGTTCAATGATTCTCTTCAAGCGTTCATCGTTACACTTGTCGGTGAAGACTTCTGGTTTGCCATTGGTGGCTGGTTGAGCAGCTTGAGCAGCTTGAGCTGCTTGAGCTCGACGTACCGGCTGCCGGAATCCATCGAAAGTAGATTCTCATAAAAATCATTCCTTTCTCCCACCACAACATGAAAATTAACAAACTTACTATTTGGTTGATTTTCGTAGAGTGAAAGGAAATTTTCAGAACTGCCATCCTCCTTAGTTGGCTCTTCAGGTTGATCCGCTTCAATGTAGCTGAAATTGCTGCTAGTGGATTTAAGCTTTTAGGAGGACAATTAATTAAGTGAGTTACTGAGCTTCACTCCTGCCCAAGTTACATATTTAGAAATAAATGAATCAATCAGTTCTTACGCTTCACTGGGTAAAGTAGTCACTCTCGTCGTGGCGTCTACGGGAATAGTCTCAGCAAAGTGAACAGATGGTTGAACACTGACTAAAATAGAAGAATTACTTTTCAGAAAGCTCTAAGCGATTACCGGAGCTTTACCTTGTGTCTGTGGGGCAGGTGCAGGTGGTGCAGCTTGGAATTCCTGTGGGTGTTGCAGCGAATTTTCGTGGAAGACCTGTTGCGGCGGTTGTTGCGGTTGTAGTTGTTGAGGTTGTATTTGCTCTTGCTGTGACTGCTGTTGCTGTTGGAATTGTTGTTGTTGTTGTTGTTGCTGCTGCTGCTGGGATGCAGGGTCATACTGTAATGGATAAAAAGGTAGCGGTGGGTGGGATAAGTGGAAGCAGCACTTTCTCTTTCCCTCAAGCATCTCAACTGTGGAAAAGAGGCATAAATCAGAAGCGGTAAATAGCAATTTTTGGGATTTTTTTGAGGTTCAATTCCGATCGAACAATTTTCGTTGCAGTATTAGAACTTATATGTGGAAGGTGTGTGGGAATGAGGATGACCACCCAGACTTTACTAGATAATTCTGGCGAGTAAAACTTATTGATACTCATTCCGCTGGCCATTGTAAGTGCTCAGAGACACCGCATTTTCAGAAAAAATGCACGGGCTGTAGATCAGAACTAGTTGTTTTTAAGTCCTAACTTCTTTTGAGGGCGGAAGTGGTGTAATGGCAAGTGACGCAATATCCCACACGCACGGTCAGGGGTTCGAATCAAAGATCGATATCCGCCTAGCCAACCGAGCCTTCCATTCCGCCGGGATCGGTTGATTGGTACCAGGCTCGTTTGAGAGGATAAAAACACAGACTTTTACATCGACTGGCCACTACAATTCAATGTATAGGCACCATACACATTCACTACGCCACCACGATTCTGAATGGGAGTCGAATGCGCAGGCGCATCCCGCAGAAAGAGTGATCAACGTCCGAAGGCTTTATCCTTATACAGACGCAGCGCATACTAAAGTTACTGCGATTTTGAGTAGATTTTCAGTGTATGCTTGGGTCATACCCAGAACAGGACGATTTGGTGATTTCAGTCTCTTTTACTTTTTTTTACATTTTAAAAACCATTTTTTATGGTCTCCGAATTCCGAATTCAGTTAGTTGTAGGATTTTGCCTATGATAGGTATTTAGATGAACAGGTGGAACTTTGAGCTAGAGCTTACCTGATTGCTTTGGATTGGAACCAACGATTCTTGACCGCTTACAGGTGGTGTTACTGCCAGTGGAAGAGGAGTACTCGTTGGGGCAAATGGGCTACCACCGAGAGGTGGTAACGTTGGTAAAGTGAACTGAGAGAGTCCCTAAACAGATCAATAATCCTCAAAGTTAGTGGGTAAATACGTTATTTAGTGCTCAGTTCCTTTCGAGATTTTTCCAAATCTCTGAGCTGCTCATTGTAGTCCCGAAACCTAATGGGGCTCAGGAAATTAATGGGGACAGACCTAAACGCTAGTCCTGTGTGGGGTGCTGCTAGATGACGCTGTACTCTTTTTGGAAGCCATCTATCGAGCTCAAACTTCTTCGAAGTGTAGACGGGAGCAGAGTGAACAGTCGGTTATATTTGCTTTACTACCTACAGTGTTAGACAGGGAGCAACCCCAGATCATGTTCGTGGGAGTAGCCGTCCAATGTGGGACACGACAGAACAATATGTAGCCTTATGAAAAATATGACGCCTTCTGGATTTCTTGGATCTTCTCGCAGGGTATCTTGGCTAGCTGTCTCACCGTACATGATGTCATAGTTAGCTGGCTTAGTTGCCCCGTCGCTCGCCGTACATTTCGCAGTACCCAGTCGTCACCTCGTTGGAACATACCCCCATACCTCATGTCTAGGGTTGCGTTTGGGTAGGTTAATCCACCGATTGGCTACGAAGGACAAATCTGTCGTTTTTACAAATTGTTGGCATTACCTGTGATCCACCGAGTGGTGGCATTAATGTTCCCAACGTTGGGAATGGATTACATGGTGGTGGTGGTGGGCATTGCATAGGAGGACAATTCAGTTGAATCGGTGATGGACACTGCACTGCAACAGGCTCAATTGCTTCGAAATCGGAAAAAATTGACTAGTTACTACTTGATTTCATCGGTACTTACTTCCAAGTTGTCCGCCAGGACATTGACACATCGGAGGTGAAGCTTGAACATAGAAAGCCAGCAAAACGATGAGAGCTAACCGCCGCATTTTGTTCACTGGGAAGCTGCTGGACCGAGAACTATTCAAAGGATTATTTATTTGTTTGCTTTCAACATTGCGTAATTCAATAGTGAGAAGCAACGGGAAGGATATCAACATCAGCTCGTTATGTAATGTGTGCGGGAGGAAAAACCCAACAGGTTTCCTTCTCGCAAGAAGTTTGCAAGAGGCACGAAAAGCAATGAAACTGGAGTCATGAATGAATAGATAGGAATTAGCTCAGGAGAAGGGAGGGGAGAGGAATGACTAGAACAGCGACTTCCCCCGACATTTTTGTGGTTCGAGTCTTACCTTAGAGTCCTCTGGAGGTTCAGAGCATTAACTCTGATGATACCGCTGGCTTATTGCTTCCGATCATGATAGATTCATCTACGGGTAACTTTGAGGAGATCAATTGAAGTTCATGATATGCATTCTAAATGGGACCGGGAGGAGCGGGAACAGATCTAGTTAATGTAAAAATCTAGTGAGTAAAGTTATTTTCTAGGCTTTTCAACCTAGTGGGTATCCTTCTTCTTGGTTCTCCTTATTGTTGGCCATTATTTGTCTTTTCAATTTTTATTCTAGCAACACAAAACCATCGCCTTAAGGAATTTCTAGAGTCTTCGTATACATTTTTACTGACTCTTAAAAGAATCTCTGATTTTCAGTCAGTGATGACAAGACGGAAACAGAGAGAGACAGTGAGCTTTGTATGTATGCCTACAGTTCTGCTTATGAAACTAACATTGTTTCTGTCACACATCCTCTGAGAAATCTTCCTGAAGATCGTTCTTCTTACGGAAAAAGCCGGCGCCATTCCCTTCTTTTCTTATCCAACGCAGTCTACCCATGTCAAACCTTTCTGAGGAAACTTCAAGCAATAGAATAATCACTAGGATTATTATTATTCTGCTCCATTCAAATTCTTTTTATAATTTTTTTCCAAAATTCATTGTTTTCCACCGATAATTTTTGGCTGTTGCTATGCCCATAACGCATCGAAAGTAAGTACCGTACTTTCTGAGGGTTTTTGAAGACCTCGGATGGTGGGACTTAAGAATTTAAGAAGTTCAGGTAGAGGATAACATCTGATCATTTGACTGAAGGAAGAGTATTGTTAAATAGTCGCCATTAATAGGATCAAAATGAGGAATCCTATCGGAATTATAACACAATTTTAGTCCACCTATGCTCCAGAAACTTCTACAATAAGGTTTAGTATAACCATGAATTATCCCTTAGTAAGTGACAGCTTCCAATAGCTTGGGAAAGAAGAAAAAATAGAGGAATATGGTTCTGAAAGCGATAGTGAAATCGAAAGGGAAACTATCGGAATGTTGCGGACGAGAGTTCCGGGCTTGAAACTAGGCCATCGTAGATGCACACGCTATACAAGTTGAGCTATTTATATGATCGAAGGAGTGGTGTCCGTTGTGACGACTCTCGAACTCGTCTTCTACCCGCCGTCCCGTTTTTACTCGATCGCGACGATGTCGTCTCATTGTGGTTTTGTAATCGTAGATCTATCACGTAATCAGAGAAACTTTCTGTACAGGATATGCTTTCGAGTAATCCTTTCACTAACGGAGGGGTCAGAGACATTCTGGAGGGACTACGAACAGTATGAGCCATGCACATGGCCATCAATCAGAATCGTGGCACTCCTACTTAATCGATGCTTTGTCTGAATAATAGAAAAAGAATAAATGGCGAAAAGGAAAAAGAGTAATATCGTCTTTTCTCCCATCTTATACGTTTGTCGTGAGAAGCCACCAAGATTAGCCACTAGAATAAAGGAACAACATCTACCTATGCTTCATACGACCGGCTACCCAATTTTGGAAGGATTGGTTTTCCAGGAAGAATCAGTAGGAACATAAGGGCTGGGCTGCTTATTCCCAGTTCCAAACATACGATTGGGTCCAAAAGATGGTTGTTCGGTCGGCATGGAGCCATCGAAAGGTCATGTTTCAGAAATGAATCAAAGTAATTCACTCTCATTGTCTGGATCTCAATCTGTACACGATTTCAGCCAATTATGGGAAGAGTTAGGAAGTTTGCTTGGGGTAAATGGTTTCAAATTAAGAGTTCGATGTTCACGAAAGAAAAGAGATTAGTTGGAAAGACCTGCAAAAACTCTTTGAATATGGGCGGTGAAGTGGAACAGAACAGCCTGGAGACAGGC